GTGTGTGGTGGTGGTGGTGGGGGGGGGGTCTAAACAGACCCCTGACATTTCCCTTCTGAAATAGAAAAAGAGATTGAGGACACAGAGTCCTCTGCCCATACAGGTGGGGGAGAGCAGCGGGGATCAGAGGGGAAGCTGGAGCCTGTGCAGCTCTCGTTCACCCTGCTGAGCCGCGGCTGTGTTGGCCGCCTGTTGCCAATGACGCCCTGTGCTCGCCATGGCAACAGTGGCAAGGGGCCGCAGGCAGGCTGGCCCTGACTGCGCCCCCTTTCAGCTGCACCTGAGGCGAGTGCCTCACTCACCCCATGGTAGCTACAGCCCTGGCACCAATAATAATACACAGAATGATATAATGTTACAAAATGAATATTATGCTCTTGCACACACTTACTCTTCAATCCTAATTCAAACTTCTTTAAACTCCAACTTCATTGAGCTTTTTCTGCTAAACTACAAACCTCAGCCCTCCTAGAAGGTTTTAACAAAGGTGACGCTGTATGTGACTGCATTAGACATATGGGGTTCATTACCAAAGTCTGTAGGAGAAGATCAGAGGACAATAAATCTACACTGCTAAGACAGATCAGCAAATGCTTCTACTACACAGAGGGGGATCTGTGACTAGAGAATCTGCAGGTCTGACTTCAGCCCTTCTATACTGGAAACATCACTGTTTAGTTTTCCTAATCAGCCTTCCTAATGGGGCCCCCTCCTACTCCAAGCCCCATAGCAGCCACGTGGGCTGCTATGGCTATTCCTACACCACTGCCTACATGGTTTCATAAAATGTTATTTGTCCTCCTGTGTCCTCTAACGTCTATCACCAACAGTCAAAGTTATAAATTCAACTTGATAAATGTAATTTAAAATACATGCACCAAGAGTACACCTTCAGTGAATGTTTGGTGAATGTCCCATTTGCGGCTTATAAATATACCTCTTAATTTAGGGGATAGGTAAATTTTTCCGGCTGATGGAATGACTAATATAATTATTGTCCTGGGCCTTGTTATGAGTGTCTTTGAAACCTACCCTTCCCCTTAATGGTAGACAGTGGCAGACGCTATATGGCCTGGTAAATATAGCATGTTAGCTATGACTATAAACATAATATTATCCTTATATCTAACTTTATGTCTTTCTCAGGCTGACCAGTGCACCGGCCTCCAGGGATTCCTCATCTTCCACAGTTTTGGTGGAGGCACTGGCTCTGGTTTCACCTCTCTCCTGATGGAACGTCTGTCTGTTGACTACGGCAAGAAGTCCAAGCTGGAGTTCGCCATCTACCCAGCTCCTCAGATCTCCACAGCTGTAGTTGAGCCCTACAACGCCATCCTCACCACCCACACTACACTAGAGCACTCAGACTGTGCTTTCATGGTGGACAATGAGGCCATTTATGACATCTGCCGCAGAAACCTGGACATCGAACGTCCCACCTACACCAACCTGAACCGTCTGATTGGCCAGATCGTGTCCTCTATCACAGCTTCCCTCAGGTTTGATGGAGCTCTGAACGTGGACTTGACTGAGTTCCAGACCAACCTGGTGCCCTACCCCCGTATCCACTTCCCCCTAGCCACCTATGCCCCTGTAATCTCTGCAGAGAAAGCTTACCATGAGCAGCTCTCTGTGTCTGAGATCACCAATGCTTGCTTTGAGCCAGCCAACCAGATGGTGAAATGTGACCCCAGACACGGCAAATACATGGCTTGCTGCCTGCTGTACCGTGGTGATGTGGTGCCCAAAGATGTCAATGCTGCTATCGCCACCATCAAGACCAAGCGCACCATCCAGTTTGTGGACTGGTGCCCAACCGGGTTCAAGGTTGGTATCAACTACCAGCCACCAACTGTGGTTCCCGGTGGAGATCTGGCCAAGGTGCAGCGTGCCGTGTGCATGTTGAGCAACACCACAGCCATTGCTGAGGCCTGGGCTCGCCTGGACCACAAGTTCGATCTGATGTATGCCAAGCGTGCCTTTGTGCACTGGTACGTGGGTGAGGGTATGGAGGAAGGAGAATTCTCCGAGGCTCGTGAGGACATGGCCGCCCTGGAGAAGGATTACGAAGAGGTTGGCACTGACAGCGTTGAAGGAGAAGGTGAAGGAGAGGAAGGAGAAGAGTATTAAAGCAAAGCGGGGAAGAGTATTAAATTACTGCACAATAATACTAAAATAAAGTCTATTTTTCTGAATGAATATTGCTTCATGTATTTCTTTTATTGTGTCTTGGTGATTTTATACTTTATTATAATTCGGTAAAAATTCCAATACTTTGTCCATGTTACGTACTTATGTAAACACAACACGTCTGAATGGAAAACAATACAGTTTGTATTGTTCAAAGCAACTAATCCAATTCCTGTTTTCAGATTTCAATTGTCAGCTATGGTGAGGAAATGTGGAACTGGGAATTCTTTCAGAGCATTGTGAATATATTTATCCAACTGGACAGACTACTAAAGTATATTCATATGCATACAGTATATATAAAACAGGCATTTCTCTATTCCAGCTGAACTCGGGGCCAAAAACCAAGTTCCAAAAAGATTTCCAACAGAATTTTACTGGTGCATGGCCAGCTTTAATGTCTTTTCATGTCGGAGAACATCCTACAGAATGCGCTACTTCATTTGAAGGTTTATGGTGTCCCCCAAACATGTTATTTAAAGCAATTGTGTATTTGTAATGTTGCCCTTTAAGGCTTATTTAAAAATCTGCTATCCACTGAATGGTATTTTTTTTAAACTTTTTGCATTGGTACATGGCCCCCCCATGGCAGTGCCCAGCTACCCATGACCTTTTTTGAACCAAACCTTGCAAAAGCCCTAAAAAGCCAGATACAATTTTGCAAGATTTGGCCCCTGTAGACTTCAATAGTGTTTGGGTGCTATGTTCAGGGTTTCAATTGTCCAGCAAAAGTCTGAAATAAGTCAAACATGGTATTATTTTATATCAGCCTTCAGTGAGATGTATTGAGACTCTAAGGGCCCATTCATGCCTAACCGGTCCCTTGAGATGAGTTGACACACACATTATTTGCCACATTTGAATGGGCTGCCAACACACACTGAAAATCAGACATGCCCCAATTTATAAAGCCCAACTGCAGCCACAAGACCCTTTCCAGGGTTAAAGCACTTGAAACCAACCCCCATCATGCATGCTTTCATCTACATCCTGCAAGACTGCTAATTTACATGCTGAGACTAGTACAGCTCCTGATGTATGCCTGGCCTGCACAGACGTAAGGACTGCAAATCTCATAGGCT